ATACTGGACGCCTCCTGGTACCCGCCGCAGGAGCGAAACGCCCGGCAGGAGTTCAAGGAGAGGCACATCCCCGGGGCGTCCTTCTTCGACATTGAGGAGTGCAGGGGACCAGTCCCCCCTTACGACTTCATGCTGCCCAGCGAGTCCCACTTTGCCGACTACGTGGGACGCCTGGGGGTCAGCAATGACACCCACGTGGTGGTGTACGACGGGGACGAGCTGGGCACCTTCTACGCCCCCCGCGCCTGGTGGATGTTCCGGGCCTTCGGGCACAAGGAGGTCTCCGTCCTGAACGGCGGCTTCAAGAACTGGGTGAAGGAGGGCGCCCCTGGCACAGCGGAAAAAATGAAGACCTTTGAGGAGATGATCCAGAACGTGGGGTCCCTGCGGTTCCAGGTGGTGGATTCCCGCCCCGAGGGCCGGTTCCGGGGGACCGAGCTGGACCAAGGTAATGGAGGTGGGAACAGCACCCACCGCCTGCAGCAGAGCGGGATGAGTGTCAATGCTAGTCCAGGCGTCCCAGCTCCTCCCAGCCAGAAAACAGATTTTCCTAACGTACAGGCATGCCTCAGCCTAACTCATTCATTTACCTTAAGGGGTCCGCAGTTGAGCGTTCGGATCCCAGTGTCCTTGCAGGTTGCTTTTCTTGTAGCTAGTTGTAAAGCAGCAGTAGAAAATAGCAGGAAAGTGCTGCAGTCAGTTGGCTGCAGGATCCGCCATCCCACACCCTGCAGAAGTTAATCAGACAGAATGCAAACAAGGGAGAGGAGAGGTCCCAGGGGTTTTGTTCAGGGTCCTATCTAACACAAGCAGACACAGACAAGCTATCAGTATTCATACAGGCACCTCTCACCATAATGAATACACCACTAAAAGCCAAGGTTTTAGGCAATAGAATAACCCAAGGGACATTTTCCTTCTTGCTCTGGTTCCTAGCAAATAGACAACTTGCTTGAGCTGATCTTTGTCCTTTTGCTCTCTGCTGTTAAATCTAACAAGCTTAAGTAAGAAAAGCCCCAAACCCTTCCCAAATGTATGGGCTGTGAACCTCTCTCTTTTGGATGCCCCCAGTAACAGGAATAAAAATTTATTTTGTTACCTCAGTCAAACACTGGACGTGCAAGCAGCAAGGGTGGGAGAAGTCCTGTGCCGTGAGGACAGCTGGTACAGCCATGTGCCTGGAATGAAATTCAGGTTGGTTGTTAAAGGAGGCCCATCCTGTGTCATTTAAGCCTTGGTATATCCCACAATAACCTCTCCTCTGAAAGGCAATCACATAAATGGTTTAAAAAGAAATGCAGAATTTCAAAAACAGCACAGAAAAGCTCAGCAACAGTCGTTGGGTCTGAGTCGAGGTCCATGCTGCAGGAGCAGGCATGGCGCAGCCTTTTGTGGTCCTGAAACCATGCTGCGCTGCTGCCTCACCTGCAGGTTGTCATTCTGTTCTGGCTGTTTTCTGATGTGTGTGCTGCTGTACAGCCATTGAGTGTGACATGGTGTTCTGAAATAAATTCCTGCATCCAAACCTCAGGAGCATTTAGCTGTAAATGGCTTTGTACACATGGTTTGCCTAAGTGCCTACAGTGAGCCCCCCCAAACACACTCAGACTGTGCAAGGCAGCACGGAAGGTGAGAAAGGTAATGGGAGTGACAGAAGAGGCTGTTGCAGGGAGAGAGGGGGAGTTAGGCTTATCGCTCATTCTGTTTCTTCGCCTACTGCAGCCCATCAAAGTGAAGGTTGAATTTTAACCTCAAGACGTGAATAAAATGCTTCTTGCTGGGAGCTGGTGGATTTTGTGTTCTCTTTCACAAAGTGGGAGTTGTCATCAGGTGACAAATACTGCAGCCCCTGACAGCGTCTTGAAAACAGATTTTTCCTTTGAAATGAGTCAGCACGGAACAGTTTATTTGTGGTGGTCCAGTTTTGCTTCCCACAGCAGATCCATCAGGATAAGCACTCCAGCTGCAGCTGCTCATTCCACAGGAGCTTGACAGCCTTCTGAACTAGGCCGGCCAGTAGCTATGCTACAGCCAGCACCTAAAAGAGCAATTTGAAATCAGTGCTGATTAATTACAGGGGTCATCCAATCAGGGAGGAGAAACTTTGCCTGCAATTTAGAGAAGAAAAATGGTCTTGAGGTTAAGGAACTTGCTGTGTTCTCAGGTGATTTCAGTTTAATTATTGCCTCAGCTCTTGACTTCCTAATTAAGTCAATTAATCTCTCCAGTTCCATGAACTCCATCTCTAGAAGAGGCTAATTTCAGCTGACTCTTTTGCCTCTTCAGTTTTTCAGTTCCTTGTGGTAAGAATTAGTTGTCTCTGTTTTATTTTTATGCAGTAGCTACCTTGCTGGGGTTTAAACCTCTGTAGAGCATGAGATAAGCCATAACACATGGCTAATGTTTCAGTGTTGGGAGATATTTACCCAGGTTGCCAGGATGGAGAAAGATGGACGGTGTTTTTACAGGCCGTGTCTCATCGGTCTTAAATGCAAGTATTGCTTTGGGTGAAAAAGCTTGGATGCGCATGTGTGGTGTGCAAGATAAGCCCATCAGATGTGCAGCTCTGACCTGTGTGCTGAGCGGTTAAAGGTGTCCCTGCACAGAGCTGTGTTTCTGAAGGAACGAGCAGCTCAGGTCTGCTCACTAGCTGTGGTCGGCAATGGCCCAACCAGGTTCTGCAAGGACCTCCTTACTCAGGTGCTGTAGGGTGAAGGTCTGTGGAACCAGCCTGAACTGAGGCAATCCCAGGCAATCCAGGGGCCGATAATGAATATAATTACACGATGGTTACCAGTGCTGATTCTCTCTGAGTATTGGGCACTGAAAACTGAGGAATAAGAATTTTATTTTAACAAATGCATACAGAAAAGTTGTGGATTTCTGAATTCTTTTGCAGACACCTGAGAAAAGAGGGAAAAGTTGCCAGACAAGAAATCCGTCACCTAAAAAAAGAAAGCAAACCCAAAGTCGTTTCATGAGCTTCCAACTATTTTTCTTCTCATTCTCACCCCTTGGGTAATCCTTGTCTCCTTTGCGCATACACAGCTCTTAAGGTTTTGCCCATTTTCGCAGCTCTCAGTCCTCCCTGCCCCAAACATAAAGATTTTGCTCAGCTTGAATGTTCAGTGGCAGTGAGAATGTAATGTTGCTGCTTCTGCTCTCTCCTCTCCAAGTAGAGCTGGGAGCGGACTGGCTCTACTTTCACCATGAAGTGATACTCAAGGCACAACATGGAGACCGAGAGACTTTGTATCAAAGTCTGTTTCAACCCAGAGGAACCTACAATCCAAAGCTGTCCATCTGGGTGATGAGACTGATAAACATCGGCTGCCAGAATTAGCACCGTGGCCCTGCTGGTTCTTAGAGTTGTCTCTTCTGGCTGTATACACATGCAGTATGTTGGCATTGGTGGCAAAGGCCTGTTGATCTGACTGTGAGGACCAAGCCTAGAGTGTTCCTTCCAGTGAGTTCACGTAGATTAGGTGAGATCACTAATGGTCCCTTCTGAGGCATACAATTTGAATGGAAGAGAGAGATAACAAAGGAGGCGTTTGGAAAGGAGTAGCTATCTGCAGCCAGCCAGCTCCAAGACCACAGGGAGTTAAATGTGGACATGGCACATCTTTTATCTTTTTGACGTTAAGAAATTACATCTGGAGCTTTCATCGCAAAGGGGAAGGCTAGAGAGAAGGGGCCGTAGTCTCAGCTAGATAAATAGCCAATGAAAAAATATATATTTAAGCAGAGAATATTAACAGATGTGGAAAAGGGGATTAAGCAGTGAAGAAGATAACATATTACAGGTTACAAATTGTGAGGGAGGATTGCCAGAAGCCAAGCTGAGTGAGTCTTGGCAAAAGGAATTAAATAACAAAAACTGCTGGAGCAAAGTGAATAAAAAGAGAACAAGGGGAGAAGGAATAAATAGGGTTGCTATGCAGTTAGCAGGGGTTCCAGATGAAAGATTATTTGTGTACAGCCTCAGAATTATACTGAGTCTGTGCTACCGGTTTGTTTTTTTTCTTGTGAGGATAAGTCTGTAGAGTAGGTTGAGGGGTAGCAAGAAGAAGGGGAAAGAAGTGGAAATGATCACTTCTAAAGAGGGACTATAACTAAAAGATATCCATGTGCTCAGATCTGCGAGGCAGATGATCTCCGTCCCAAATACGTGTCAAAAATCATTTATGTGACATTGCAACTCCATGAGGCAAGAATTTAATAAATTTAATCAGAACGTGGTTCTGTAGGACAAAAAGACTAGCAAAGTTTGTATTTGTATTTAGGATAGGAGGTACAACACAACCTAGGCAGCTGTTGATCTATTATCATAACATGGATGGACTGGAAGGCTTTCAAAAAAGTCTTCAAGAAAAGTTATTTGAAATGATGGCAAAATTGAATAAAATACCTTGGTAAACTTGCACTGCGGCTGAGGGCTGTTTCCTTGCCAACAGAATTGATTTGCCAGATAAGACAAATGGGAACATGCATGCCTGGAAGTTATGTCTGATCTTTTCTTCCAGCCATTGGAAGCACCTACAAGGTAGACTTGTTCCATTTGGACTTCATTAATACTTTAAACATAATATTAGAGGGGCAATTATTAGTTCAATGTGAGAAAAGGGCAAATAGCACAAGTACTATTAGATTCCCAAAAAACTCACTTAAAGGGAGATAAGAATAGCTTGTGCTGAAAGCAGATCTGTGGGGCTGGAAGTTGCCATCGTGGTCCCATCATTATGCTTCTATGTTTTATTTCATATTGTTCTGAATCATCAAAGCACTGAAAATAGGGGGTTGCTGCTGAAATGTGCTTCTGGCCACAGCCTTGGGAAGGTTTAAACGATCACACGGGGAGTATTTGTGTGAGGTACCACCTGCAGTGATAGAAGTGACAGGAAATATAATGCTAGAGAGCAAGGTTGGATGCTTAGTAGCCTGAAATATGTAATTCATAGAATCATAGAATTATCTAGGTTGGAAGGGACCTTTAAGATCATTGAGTCCAACCATCAACCTGACACTGGCAAAACCACCACTAAACCATGTCCCTAAGCACCATGTCTACCCGTTTTTAAATACCTCCAGGGGTGGTGATCCCACCACTTCCCTGGGCAGCCTATTCCAATGTTTGATAACCCTTTCGGTGAAAAAAATTTTCCTAATATCCATCTAAACCTCCCCTGGTGCCACTTGAGGCCAGTTCCTCTTGTCCTATTGATTGTTACTTGGGAGAAGACACCGACCCCCACCTCTCTGCAACCTCCTTTCAGGTAGTTTCTAAGGGTGACTTTGTGAATGTGGTGTGGAGTATGCTCTCTGTCGTATGAGGCAGGGCAGATGTATCCTCTCCACTGTTCAGATCCCAGCTGCATCCAGCCTTGCCTTCCAGTCCTGTGTTTCTCTGCTCTTGTCCTAGCAGAGAGAGAGCTGATAAAACTTCCTCAATCACTCAAGAGCACTTCTTAGGCAGTCCAAGGGCTTGTGGTTGTGCAATGTCAGCTCTTTCTTTCAGTGGAACACCCACGTACATGAGTAAATGCAGTTTCTACAGAATTCCCCATCTTTCACTTGCAGAGTGCAAGCACTGGTCTCCGACTCCAACAGACTTTTGAATCTCTGGAGCAAGGAAGTCTCCCTATAGATGAAAGTCAAAAATGCTCTAAAATGTGACTCTGCTTTTCAGATCTCAGCTCCTAACTGAACAGTTGTTTAAAGGTGGTGAGTGTACGTCACAGCAGTCTGCAATAGAGAGGGGTACAAACCTACCTATTTTAAGATGTGTGAACATTCTAGAAAAGTGACCATGACCATCGGGCCTGGGACACCTAAGAACTGAATCGATAGCCCAGCAAGCTTGTTTGAGCAAGAGCTGGCCCTTCTAGATCAGCTCCCAGGACTTCTTGATCTCAGTACACTTCCCAGTGCCCCAGGATGGTGTGAGAGCATTGTTCTGTGGCTCACAAACTTGTCTGTATTGGGGTAATCACCAGTACTACAGCCGAGCCTTGCAGAAAACCCTTCCCAAATAACAGGCTCAGGACCATTCACTCTGTAGGAAAGCAGTAGCCTAACCCAGGCATTTAAGTCTCTCCAGTAGGAAGCTCTGCAGTCTGAGAACTACAAATAAGGTTTTCTCACACTCATTTTTGTATTATTTTTGTTTCCTCTCTGTCATACAGGCACTATATTAATCAGTGTGGGTTCTGCCGTTCTCTGTGCTGAAGTGGTGAACTGTTGTTTTCTGGAACTGGAAAATATGTGGTGAAAGCATCAGTCCAAAACACTGTCCTTTTTTTTAAAAAAAAAATGTTAGTCCCTCCAGAAGTCAGCAGGTTTTTTCCCTGACCTCTCCCTGTAATGCTGAACAGTTCTGAAGGATGCATGAGGTGACGACTAGACAGCAGTGCCAGATTTCTAAGGAACTCAGGGAGGATGAACCAAGAAACAAAGAGGGTCCATCTGGAACAGGGAGAGATCTTGTGAAGCTGACTCAGGGTTTTCTTTAGGCTCTCATTCTTTGTCCAGCAGAGCAAAAATCGCCTCCTCAATACCAAGCCAAAACCTTGTTTTCTCCTTATTACATATCTCATCATGACATGACATCACTCTGCCTGAGCGATAAAACTGTCATGATGATGTGTGATGTCAATCTCTGACTAGGTATACTTTAAACATTTGACTGTGACAAAGGTTCCCTGCCCCAGTCTCTCCCATCTCCTGAGATCAGTTACCCTGATGACTTAGGCAAGGGGAAAGCTGTCAGTAAAACAGATTACTCTTTATGTGACTTTCCCAGGGCTCTCTCGTTAGAAGTTCAAACCTAGCAAGGAACCATTCCCTAAAATGCGTTTCCAACGTAATATATGTTTCCTGCTCCAACGAGGCTTGATCCAAAGCCTCTCAAAGTCAGTGGAAAAGCTTCCATTGAGTGTATTGGACTTCGATTAAGCCTATAGTGACAGAGTTTGAGTTTCAAGGGCCTGATGAAAATCTTATCCGTTACGTTTTTTAATCTGTTTCTCTCTAAAGACCTTGTTCTTGAGATGCAACTTTCAGCTTGCCTGAACTGGTCAGTTACACCAGTAGAAAAACAGAACCCATGCTGATTTCGTCCATGGAGTGGATAAAAAGTGATACAAAATCTAAATTCTCATTTCTCTGACCCCATTGCCCCAGGACAGCTGCCTAAGCAGTAATGTGGCTGAATTTAAGGTGGCTTTACTTCTCTGAAATATTATTTTAAGGTGACACAGGAATAAACTGTGAACAGATAACTAGTTTCGCAAATTCCGCATACAAGCCACACTTCTGGCTTCTGAAAGCTGTGTCTCTACACACTGCTGGCATATTTGGGGAAGGTCAGAAATGCACTGCTGCATTCCTCTCTACACAGATCCCCCTAATGCCTTTGTTAGGCTCTTTTCTGTGGTGGTTCTTTGATTCTTGTCACGTCTAGGGCTTCTTCAGGTTCCTACCTCTCATTGCTTTCAGGGGGAAATAGTTCGCTAAATATTCTGGATGATTTCACTTCAGCAAAGCTGAATAACCTTTTCCCTCCCCTTTTCAGCCCCATAGTGCTTTTTATCTTCATCATCACCTGAAACAATTTTGTATCTTGGAGAGAGTGGGAGTATCTGCAGTGATGTCTCTTTAATGTCTCTTTTGTAGGTGTCTTTCATCACCTACGTTAATGTCTCCTTGCTCATGTTTCCTTTTCTTGTTCACTCTTGCAGGGCTGGAATCTGGTCACATCCCTGGTTCTGTGAACATACCCTTCCGCTCATTCCTAACAGAAACTGGCCATGAGAAGAGTATTGAGGAGATCCAACAAATATTCCGTGAGAAGAAAGTGGATCTCTCAAAGCCACTGACAGCCACGTGCCGCAAAGGTGTCACAGCATGTCACATTGCCTTGGCAGCCTACCTGTGCGGCAAGCGTGATGTGGCTGTTTATGATGGTTCCTGGTCAGAGTGGTTCCACCGTGCCCCACCTCGCTACAAGGTCTCTGAGTTGAAGCGCAGCAAGGCCTAGAGGGAGAGTTGTTTCTTGGGCAATGAGATCTACCAGGTGTCTCCAGCCCAGGGTACAGAAAAAGGGAGGAGGTGGAAGTAAAGAAAAAATATACTGATTCATATTTTGCCAATTTTTCTAAGAACGATAAGTAGCTTTCTGTCTATCTTTCAGTTTCTCACAATGAATAAAATCTGCTTCTAAGATGATGCATCTGTGAATATTTCTAATTCTTCCCTGTTGCCTATGACCTGCTTGTGCTGGGTGGTAGAAGCAGCTCTGCAACATGAAGGAGACTTGCAGTCTTCCCTGGAGACTTGCAGAAATTCCAGTGGCCTGGTGAGAGCTCACATCCATGGTGGAGTAGAACGGATGAGAAGTCCAGGGCTAAAATAAAGCACTGGGTACTGGGCACAGGAGGGCCAATCTGTTCTCCTGTCATTGCCTCAATGTAGGACCTTTTGCCAGCCCACTAACTCCCCTTTTCTAATATGGAAAATGGGGACACCTTCCTCTGCCTCTCTGATGGGGGTCAGTGAGCTCATGTGAAGCATTTGGAGATGCTAGAAGATCCAGTTCTGCTGAAATGCAGTCTTGTTGATTATCATGACGGTGTTATGAAAGTCTCCAAGAAATCCTATGTATGTGATGAGATCTGGGCACAGGTGTTTCATGAGACATTAGCCTTTTACTGTCCTCCTTGTTTGTGTTTTTGTTTTGGGTTTTTTTTGATCAGCTAGGATGACCCTGATCTCTGCCATGTTTCTTCTGGTTCCCATGGAGATCACAGCTCATAGAGGGAGGGTTGTTCCCTAGCAACCGTCTCTGCTCTTCAGCCTTCATCCCACCTCCATTCCTGGATTTCAGACTTGCCTGCTTGCTTGTACAAATCACTGTGTCACCACATCAGGGATCATGGACCAGGTGAGAGAGGTAGTTATGGAAAAGGATTTGCCTTTTGTTAAGTGCTGGATCTTTTCTCTCTGTTTTGTTGTTTGTTTTTTTTTTAATAAAAATAACTATAAAAGATCCATTTTGACACCCATGGGGCTTCTCAGGTCTGGAAAATCACTGAAATCTCAAATTTTGAGGGCTTGGCCAGATGTTCAAGGCATATGAGAACATTCTTGACCACATCTGGTGGCTGGCGAGAATGGCATACCAATTGCTACACCTGTCTGAGGATGTTCATCTTCTGCCTGGGAAAGACAGCTCCCTCTTTCCTCCGTGGCTGCATGAAGTCAGGAAAGTCAGAGCGTTAGGCTGTGCTAAACATACACATTTTTGGAGGGGTTTCATGTAGAAAAAAAGACCAAGTTTAATAATTTTTAGCTCTTTGATCAAGATAGTCTTTTCTGGTATGTCATAAGTTGTCCCTCACAGAATTGGCTTAGCAAAGGAGTAAGTAGAGATAGTTCTGTGGCTTCTGTTATCCAGGAAGATGGTCAAATGACCTTCAAATCCTTCTTGGTGTCAAGGTGTAGGAGTCTCAGAGTGGTGCTTTGACTTTGGACCTTCAGGCTCAGAAGTAAAATGAACAATATGCAATAACAGTAACATCATATATAGTTACAAACTAGAAAGTTGGAACAGTTTCAGGCTTCAGCGTCATTTTGTCCAGGAGGAAGCGGGGAAATGAAAGTTATCAGTGAACAGGATTTGGGAAATGGGCACATTGCCTCATTACACAGGAATTCTGCTTCATTGGAAGAAATGGGAGAAGAGGAATTTATACAACAGCAAACTGGAAAGTTCTTTCCACTGAATATAGTAATAATAACAAACAGACATGGTTTTGTTTTAAGTAGGAGGTGGGAGTTAACACAGGAGTTTATTTAGCAACCCAGATTCCTGCACTTTGATCATGTGTAAATGTTTGGCTCTTCTTTAAAAAGAATGAAAAGCAATACAGAAAAGAAGCAGATCCTGCCCTGTGAGCCAGGACTGGCTTCCTCTCTTAGTCTCTGGTGGCCCTGTTCTTTTTGTGGGAGACTTTCTGTCTCTTAACACATTTGCAGAGCACACAGCACTGACTCCTGGAGTCTGATTGATACAGTAACTTCAGCTTTGGGACCCCAATGTTGTAGCAGAAATGCTGCTGCAAAGTACTGGCACGGTGTAAAACAAGCTGCCGTTTTACAATTAAGTCGGCCCTGGTGAGTTAACTTTGAAGCGGTAGGCTTCCTGCCCCGTTGGCAATTGTGTCTTCGTTCCAGTAACTACCCTCAAGAGCAGAAAATAAACATGTATGTCACGTCATGAGCTAATTCGACCAACGCAAATGTATATCCCTACCTGATCCAGATCCCATTTGTACTGCTGCTGGTGCCAGCGGGTTCACAATGGCCATACTCACCACCGTGGGCCATGGCTCCAGTTGTAACCTGTCACAGGTTTCACGGGGCCTGTAGGGTCCCGCTGGGATGAGGAGCACAGACCATCAGCAGGACACGGCTGAGGGTTACACACAGACATTCCCTCTGCAGGAAAGGCATGAGCTTCCTCCTAGTGCAGGAGGCAGTTTGCCAAGACTGGGGGTTGGATCAGTCCCATCAGCAGGACTAGCAAAGCGAAACAGGAGATAGTCTGTGCCAGAACCAGGGAAGAAACCCTGTTTCCAGCCTGTCTCCCTTCCTTTGCATAGCCGGCACTGCACAGGCATTTCATGTTCATCACCTCTTCTCCCCATTTTTCTGGCCCTACTTTAATGCACCGAAGGAAGGAGATATTGTAATTGTACAACGCATGACAGGTCTGACATCTCTAGGTGCTTCAAAATTAAAAAAAAAGACATTTTCACTGAAGTTTTTTTTTCCATTTTGGCTTGGGTCTGTACCACTGCCTGTGAAAACTCTTGCAGCTCAGTATTCCCCAGAGGCACTTGTTGGCCATGTCCTAGGCAGGCTGTTCCGTGTGAGCTGTTAATGTGAAATCCTGTAGGACTTACGTGCTTTTTTAATCTGAGAGGATAATGAGTTGTAGGACCAACCACGCAGCCAGGCAGGGACAGCTCTATCTTGATCTGGAAAGGTGTAATATACATTTGTGTGAGAATAATCTATGTTATCTAAAGATGAGCAGGGCCACCGTCCCCTTCCTTCCCTTCTCTGAGCCTGACACAGCCTTTGTTTCTCTTCCAAGGGTGTGGTAGAGGTTCCAGCTTCCCTTACACCTGATGTGGCAGGAAGAAACTATGTGCTGGCAAACGGTACTTCAGGTAAGCAAGATGACAGAGAAGCTGTTCCTTCTCCAGAGCTTGCTTTGCAGTACAGGTTGTGAGAGTCTGTGTCATTCCTTCTCTCCTTTCATGCCGTCCAGATTTGCATGTACCTCTGTGAGTGAAAACTACTCGGGCAGGGATATCATGTCCCATAGGCTGATGGATTAAAATCCCCCCACCCCGAGAGTGTCTTCCTCCACTGGTGGACTTGTCTCACTACCTTCCTGCTCAAGCACAATAAGCCACTGATGTGCTGTAAACTCATCAGCAAATACCCATGAGCCACAGAGACTACAAGTGCATGTTCATGAGAGTGGTCATGGGTTGGAGGGGCCTCTACACGTGAGAAAACACAGACCTTTGTGTGCATGTTTGACCACAAGATTTTTATTTCCGCACTTCTGTGCATGTTCATCTCTCAAGAGCATTTAAGACTCCTCAGGAACCTTCACCTAGTTCAGTAGGAAGATTGATATAATGCTGCTAGGTTGTTTTTTTCTCTTTTCTTTCCCTCTTTGAGACTTTCAATGTTTCTTTTGTTGTCCGACAATGACACAATGACATGTCCGGTTGTTTCCAGCTCCATTTACAGTACCACCTGTTGTCAAAACAGTATCAAATTCATTTAGCTATTATTTTTGTCTTTTAAGTGGGACCTGAGAAACAGAAAAAGGAGCATCTTCCAGAAGCATGTCCCACCAGTCAGAGAATATCCCAAAGGAGCTCCAGCAGTGCCTTCTGGAAGATCTCCAAGGGCCCAGTGGCTCAGGTAACAGCAAGGAATTCCACATCTATTAAATCCCAGGCATGTCCTTCTGCAAAGTGTGTTCAAAGTAAAAACCAGAGCAAACAGAGTCTCCAGGCCAGAACTCCCCACACACAGAGTCTTCATTCAAGAGGACTTGAAGAGGAAAGAGAAGATACTTCTCCCACCAAAGACCCAATAGTGGGGCATGAGCTAAGAAGGAGGAACAGCACTTACCACCTGTCTGCAATATTCATGCAGAGGAAGGCAGAAGACACCAAATCCATCTCAAATGTCAAAGAACCAGTAGCAGGCCAGCACCAGATGCCAAGGTCTAGAGGGCCTGGATCTTCCCGAAAGACCATCAAAGCCAGCTGTGAAAAATCCAAGGAGACCTGTGGCAGATTAAGTGCCAAAGAGTCCTCAGCATCATTAGGGCCAGATATGAAAGCAGAATGGAAGCTCCTTCTGGAGGACAAAGAAAGCTTGATCCATGCCAACAACAAATATAAATTTGCCAGTGCAGCTGAGCTTACCAGTGGTGAAGAGGTATTGGAGGAAGCTATTTCATCTATCCTTTGTGGCAGGTTGAAGGCTGTTTTTATGGTGTAGCAGGGGGCTGAGCAGGTGGGATATTAGCAGTATATTAGCCATTTCTAGAAGACATGTAGAGAGATGGATTTGGGCTTCACACTACGAGGAAGAGACACGTTCCACAGATACAGATAGCCTTTCCCATGCCTTTTTTTAGTTTTGTTTTTCCATCCTCCTTTCGTTCATAAGGTTCCTGTAGCCAGGCAGAGCTCCAACTCAGCAAGGCAAACCAATGTGGTACCAGGACCCAGTCCAGGGCCCAACACCATCATCCCTTTCTAATTCCCCCCCTTGTTACCAGTCCTAGTTGTCCCATGCAATTACAATGCCTACAGAAGCCGCTGAGGGAGACTCAAGGACAGACCCAGGTCCCAGGGATTAGTCATAGCTCAAAGACCTATGCAGGGGTGGAACTGCCAGGAGTTTGCTGCATTTAGGGAACGTGGACTGACAGTGGTTCCTTGTTGTTCATGTTTTCAGGAACGGCGAGCTCTGTGCGAGGCAGCATTAATCATGGGACAGAAAAGACTCAGCGACCGTACTAAAATGCTAAACCCCTTGAACTCTACATCTTTTGCTGATTACAACCAGCTGGGTTTTAATCTGAGATCAAACATCTTCCAAGGTGAGGGGACACACGTACCTATGCTTGACCTTCAAAGCTGGTTCCATCTACACTTTGCCTAGGCTCAGGGCAGCAACCCTTCTTTGGGTAGAGATCTGACTGTAGGTGATCCTTACTTTCTCCTCTTATTCTTTCTATCCACAGTCACTGCTTTTCCAGGGTGTGGAAGTGAAATCTAGAGCCTCCCTTTGTATGTATTCTATTCCTTTCTTTTCTCTTCTTTTCTCTTTCACTCTTTTTTTTTTTTTTTCCCCAAGATGTGACCAGTGAAGGTGTATCATGACCCCTGTCCTCTGTGTTCAGAGCTGTCCAAATGGAAAACATTTGCAATTCAAGGTCCTCTGTCAGTCCCAAGTTATCTCCAGTTACAATACTGATTTTATTTCTCTTCAAGACCTTTAGAGATGTGGGGCTCTGAAATGTCTTCCCTGAACATCTGTTTCCAAGGTACCCAGGGATCCCTCCATCTAAGCAAATATTGGGAAGTAAGCATTCATCCCATTCTTGTTAACATCACATCCGAAAAACTTGGAAATAACTGTCTTTGATTCCAGTTTCTGGTGTGCCAACACGAGACAGATTTCTTTTCCTTATACAGTACGTTCCATGACAAGACCTTGCTGTATTGAAGACTGCATTGTCCTGGGTTTGTGCAGTCACACAGAAAGAAAGGACATCTTTCCCCAGGGAGCTCAAAATCATTATTGTCAAGGAATGGGTACAATAAAAAGGAAGGTGAAGAGCAAAGGATGAGAGATTAAAATAAAGCCCCCTCTAACGGCTAAGAGTCAAGAGGGGATAAAAAGAGAAGTCACAGTTGGGAACTATTTGTTAAGTGTGGTGGCTAGAAAAGGAGCTCAAGAAGGCCTGGAGTGGTAAGATGGTGCTTTTTGTGGAGCTGTGCTGCTGAATAGGAAGTTAGTCACATGAATGAGGGGATTCAACAGGAGATAAGTGGGCACTTGACTAAGGAAAGGGCACTGGGATACAAATAAAGATGATACCTTGCTACTTGAGGATGAAAAGCAGATAAATTGGCAAAGACTAGCTCCCTCCTGGGTGATGATGAAGCTATTATTCAGCACCTAGCCACACACCTGATCAAAGTCAATGTGTGCCTTTTCTTGAGCCCTTGAAACTGCTGGTGGTGCTCTCCTGCTCAATCCCAGGACTGCAGTAGGGTGATTTCTGCATACAGTTCCTTATTTGCTGTTCCTTGCAGGTGGCCCACTGGAGAGCCGAAGCTTGATGAAAGATTCCTATACCCCTGATATAATTCAGAAGGTAGTCAGGGATCCCAAGAACTGGCATGGAAGGAGGACTGATGAGCTAGGTATGGCTTCCACCTGGAAAAGTACATTGCTGAATTCCTGAGATTTGGCCTGCTTCTGCCAAGGAGAATGGATGGGTTTGGGCAAAGGTGCGGGGGGACTAAAAATTGGCATTTTCAGAAGAGAGAAGCTCTACATCTAGAAAAATCCTTGAAGGATAATAGTATTAGAAGGGAGGCTGTAACTGAACTGTGATTTGCCTTCTTTTCAGGGAAATGGCATCAGAAAAATGCCCTAAATCTAAACCTGCAGAAAGCATTGGAGGACAAATATGGGAAGAAAAAAGGCAAGCCTTAAAAGATGAAGGTTGAGGATTGGAGGGCATTCAACGAGGGATCTTTTTCCTCAGCCGTCTAATAAACTTCCAGATAAAGCACGAACCCATTGCTTGCTAGTTGTCAACAGCAGATTTGTTGCTGGGGCTGTCTTCCCCTCACAATTAGAGTGTCTTCGGGGAGAGCAATGCAAGATAAATCCTAACGTGAATACAAAAAATATCACTTTGTTAGTCACGGGTAAGGTGGGTCTGATTACTGTGTGGGACGCACACCCTTGCAGAGAGATGTGGTGGTGAGAGGAGGCCTTACAGAAATTCATCTGCTCAGCACATGAGGTGGAGTAGGACCTGTGAGCAGTGTAAGATGGGGGTGGTGGTGGTGTGCATGCGTGCGTGTGTATGCAAACTCGTGTTTGCTAGAAGATTCATGGTACTTTGACAGCTGCCCAAACAGTCCAGCGAGAAGTACAGAGGATGCACTGGGAATGAACCAGGGTTGCCCAAAGACCTGAATGCTGCCCACCTCTCCCCACACTGAAGGCTGTAAAACTGCCACTCGGGGAAGCTTCAGAGCTGCGTGTACATACCAGCTCGACACACCAAGTGCAGAACCAGCTCCCTTCTGAGATGAATTTAGGCTGTCTTGCCAGAAAGACACCAAAGAATGTCCACTCAATAGCCTGGGCACAACGCCATATGATTGGCACCAGATGCCTACATAGGGCAGGACAGGAGGGTTCTCTGCCCACCACTCCAGTTTTGTTGTTACATATGCCACATGGAGGATTTTGGGGAAAGCTCTTACCTTGGCGGGGAGCAGTAGTAATGTGTGAAAACAAATGCAAACCTGAGAAAAGGAGGCATCAGGGTATTCCCTAAAGCCCATGCTATTTGCAGGCCAAGGCAATGTAAAAAAAAAAAAAACCAACAACAAAAAAAAAACCCAAACAAACCCCAAAAAAAAAAACAAAAACAAAAAAACCCCCAAACAAAACCCAAAACAAAACACAAAAAAAAACCAAAAAACCCCACAAAAAACAGCTTATCCCACCTAAAGGGAACAGGAAAGCTCAAAAAGCCCCAGGACTTCTCTGATCTGCAAATCACCCCACAATGTGAGTGGACCCTTCCTGAAACTCTTAGAAGCCATGCTCACCCTGTCAGCCCTTTCCCTAAGTCAAAGAGAAGTGTCCCTCAGAGAGAAGCTCATGTGTCCACCATACAGTCTGTATAATCTGAAGTTCAGAGAGTGTATCAGGACAGTAACCAAGGGCTTGAACGATGCAGGACATACAGGGTCTTTTGGGCTTCCTGATGTGTTTTTCTCACAGTATTTAATGGCCCTCATTGCAGGATCCTACCTTCCAGCTCCAAAGCGTAGCGGTTTGGTGCAGCAATCACAAAGTACATGTGCGGGAATAGCGATGCCCTGATCTTTCCCATCTGGTCCCAAGCTTTCACCATTTTAAAAGATTGATGCTTTGCTCCCTGATAGGAACTGTTTTGGGGCAGAGTTAGGATTGTTACTTCCCCCTTCATCAGCTGGGAATTAGATAACAATATGCTGACTTCATAAAAATAGTGAAGGAAGTTAAACTGTAACTAATGATAATCAAGTGATAATCATTTTCCACAGCAATAATTAACCATTTGGAATTCGGATGTTTCCAGGCACATGTCCAAGTCTTTCAAATTAAGGAGACTGGCCAAATGGCAGCTTGTAGAAACCTCCCTGTGGGTTTTCCTTGTGCATCAGTACCAGGTGGCTCCTGCCTGAGCACACACCACTCCAGCTTCAGCCGAGCAGCACAGCTCTGTAGGAACAACCTGTTCTCTGTGTTGCGTCCAGCACTGATGACCAACGTGACTCCGGGTACATAATAAACGCTGTCTTCTGAGACCTCAGCAAGTCCTAATCCAGAAAACACGGAGCTGAAATCTACTGACATTGCTTGGCATACTGGAAGCAGGCAGTTCAGGGCACAGTCAGCTAACGTGCAAAACATAACATGTGGGCTGAATCAGTATGCAAATTTACAGATCTGTTTCCAGTAGACATTAGAAATAGACATTAGGGCAGGCAGGCTGCAGGATTATGACACAGCTTGAAGCAAATGCCCTTTGCTACCCATGAACGGCTCCTGAAGAGACGAGATCAGAAGGGAAACGGACTGAAAGGTCTTGTTGGTGCACCACGACACTCTGCCACAAACTGTGGTGTTTGCCTCCTGCAGGGGAGTAAAGTAACTTCATGCACATTTTACAAATTAAGATATGTTTATAAGCATTTAAAGAATACAAAATAATTGGCATCGTATAATGGACAATATAATGGACAATTGTATAATAGGACAAGAGGTAACTGGCACAAAGTTGAACATAGGAAGTTCCATCTTAACATGAGGAGGAACTTCTTTACTTTGAGGGTGGCAGAGCACTGGAACAGGCTGCCCAGAGAGGTTGCGGAGCGTCTGGAGACATTCAAAACCCGCCTGGACGCCGTCCTGTGCAACCTGTTGTAGGTGACCTGCTCTGGCGGGGGGGTTGGACTAGATGTTCTTCAGAGGTCCCTTCCAACCCTGACCATTCTGTGATTCTGTGACTCAAATGTGTGACAGCTGTTCGATGCCAAGTGGACATACATGTGGCAATCCCCCTTCATCATCTTCTTTGCTTTGCCAAATGTTACAGCTCAGCCAGGGGCAAACGCTTTCTGATGGGTGACACATTGAAAGCTGCAGAGATAACTGAGATAGCTTTCAGTGAGACAGCTCAGCTACTGGGAGCAATCAATAACTGAAGTCTCTGAGAGCTGAACAGGCTAATTGAGCCAAAACCTTGGCAAGGAACATTACCCTGTGCGACACTCCATGTTGACTAGAGTGCTTTGGGTACCCAAACTTGTGTATTTAAAGCCAGCTTTGGAATCTCCAAATAGCATGTCAGATGCAGTTAGGCAAGAACAGGGCTGAAATAAGCTCTCACTGCAGCCAAAATCTCCCTTCTGCCCATTCCTCTGCTCTCAGCAGTTCATTCCTTCTTGCTTGTCTGTGCCGGTGCTGACACGTGCCCACACTCTGAACTGATTCAACCCGGTAAAACAGCAGAAAAATCAATACAGAAGAAAAAAGCAAAGTTAACAGGTTAACAAATCAAATTTTCTAAGCGAAGGACCTTGTTGCAGACAAGGCAATGAGTGATGGGGTATGCAGATATTGGGGAAGGAAGTGGAGGGGGAAATGGCCTTTGACTGCCTTTTTTATCCAGTGAGAAATTAGTCGGTCTTCACTTCATTGTCTCACTGAACTCGGCACGTTGCAACATAGGTACTCTGTGTTTAAGTGATTTTACGAGGTCTGATCGTTGGGTGGCAGCTCTGAGCCAATGTTTTTATCCAGCACGGCAAAACTTCGGGGAAAAAAAAAAAAAAAAGGGTTCTCCTCCAGTTTAGCTAAATTATTCACCAAAAAAGCTATTTAAGAACTGGTTTAGTCATCTATAAAGAGTCAATGCACTTGAAAAATAGATAATCATTCTATAGGATTTTGACATAAAAGAGACCAATTACATCCAAGCTTCTGCAGCACTCTCATAACTTCTGGTATTTCTGACAAAAATGGGAATTTCCCAGTTTAGACTTATGCATCCCTGCAGTTGAGACACAAATAATTCTGCAGGGTATCCCTTTTTGTTATGGTTTGAGAAACCCACAACAATTTATTGTCGTTTAGACAATTATTCTATCACCCAATGACCCCTCCTCACCCGGGAAGGTGAATCAGGTAAAAACAAAGAAACCCAGGGGTTGAAATATAAACAGATTTGATAGACTAAGACTAAATAATTAACATTAATAACACTAAAGAACCAATATTGATTCTGAGACCAATATAAAATACACAAGGATTATACTCAGCCAGTTCTATGAGTAGGAAGCTTTTCACTCCCAGCACTGGACAGAAAATATCAGATGCCACCAGCGCTACAGCTTCGGGAGGAAAGGAAGGGCTCAGGGGTCCGGCACCGGGGCAAGAAGTTCTCAAGATCGCAGCCATCACAGAAGAGAGAACGTCGCAGCAAACTTTCTAATTTGTATTGAATGTGATGTTTGTGGTATGAAATAATCCTGTTGGCCATCTTGGGTCAAGTGCCCGGGTCTTGCTCCTCCTCATCCCTGCACCTGGCGAGCTCGGAAACACGGAGACCTTGAAACCCACACACCATAGCTGGCTATAAAGTAAATATTTTCACAATTTCAGACACTAGAGTCTTCTAAAAGTGCAGTTTTCCCAAGCATTAGAAGAGAAATCAGTCCTGTGTCGCTCAAACCAGGACAATTTTCATAAAGATTTCCTGTTCTCCTGTCAATCTTTTTTTTCTTTTCATTTAACCCCTGACTTCTGCCTATCTCGTGCTATCCTGAATGATTCCAACATTTGGTATCTCCACTGCAAATGATTTTGAATGGCTCATTTTGAAATGGTAACAACCATAAGAACAGGAGATAGCCACTGCAAGAACTCTGATAAGAGTCTTCAGCCTGCTATTAAATTCAGTCCTTTATGCTGTAAAGCTTGCACTGAAATAAAACTTAAATTCAGAGCTACATCTATCCTGAGGTAAGCCCAGTATTCCTAAAAGAATGGAGTACTTACTGCTGATCTTGCCTATAATGGGATAAAAGAGAAATCCAGAACTACTTGAAGTGGCTAGAGATCACAACAAAGAGGGAGCAAGTGAATTCATTTCAGTGGATTTCACTTTCAGTTACTGGGGTTGGAACACAATTGTGTGTTAAGTTTAAAGGTATTTGAAACACTTACTTACCCATCAAGACAGAATGGTGTTTTGAGGGTTAGGAATTACCTGTGGTGTTTCCCTCGATAGTGGTAGAGCACAGGAGCCATGGAGCAAAATAGTAAAAAAAAAAAAAAAAAAAGGCCAAAACCCCAAATGGTATGTTCCTCGGGATTCTCTTCGGGTTTTGTTTGCCCCAGACTCCTCTCGGAGGATCCTGCTCAGTTGATGGGGGGCGAGCAGTGGACATTGTCCACCTGGATTTCTCCAAGGCTTTTGATACAGTTTCCCACAGCCTCCTCCTAGAGAAACGGATGGGTTATGTTCTAGACGAGCCATCTGTGCGCTGGGTGGGGAAGTGGCTCACAGGCTGCACTCAGAGGGTGGTGGTGAATGGCTCCTTTTCCAGCTGGTAACCTGTCACAAATGAGGTCCCCCAGGGATTCATATTTTGGCCAATGCTGTTTAAAATCTTCATAAGTGATCTGGATGATGGGATTGAGTATACCCTGATGAAGTTTGCTGATGATACCAAACTGACTGGAAGGTGGATGCTTCAGAAGGGAGTGCCAGCCCGCAGAAAGATCTCAATAGGCTGGAAGAGTGGGCTAACAAGAACCTTATGAAGTTCAACAAGGACACGTGTAAGGTCTTGCACCCGGGAAAACATAATCCAGGAGTACAGCACAGGCTGGGATCTATCCAGCTGGGGAGCAGCTCTGTGGAAAGGCTGTCCTGGTGGACAAGAAGCTCAGTGTGAGTGAACTGTGTGCTGCTGCAGCAGCGAAAGCCAACAGGATGGTGGGCTGCGTCAACAAGGGCATCACCAGCAGAGACAAAGAAGTCGTTACCCCTCTCTACTCAGTGCTTGTCAGACCAACACCTGAAATACTGTGCTCAGTTTTGGTCCCCGTGACATAAAAAAGAAATGGACAGGCTGGAGGGGGGCCAGAGAAGGGCCACAAAGATGGTCAAAGGACTGAGAAACCTGCCATATGAGGAAAAGCTGAGAGAATTGGGTTTGTTCAGCCTTGAGAAAGGAAAGCTTAGGGGAGACCTTATCACCACGTTTCAGTATTTAAAGGGTGGCTACAAAGAAGATGGAGACTCCCTTTTTACAAGGAGTCACATGGAAAAGATGAGGGGTAACGGGTACAAGTTACTCATGGGGAGATTCCACTTGGACACAAGAGAAAAAATTTTCACAATGAGAAAAATCAGCCACTGGGATAATCTCCCCAGGGAAGCGGTGGATTCCCCAACATTGGACACTTTTAGGATTCAGCTGGAGAGGGTGCTGGGCCGCCTTGTTTAGATCATGCTTTTGCCAAGAAAGGTTGAAGCAGATGATCCTTGAGGTCCCTTCCAACCTGGTATTCTATAATTCTATGATCTGAAATGTTGAGGGGACAATGTGGGACTGTGGATAGAATCAAGGCACCATGGGCTGAAGCTGCCAAGAGCAGCAACCCAGTATCAGAGGTGGGATCACTGCACTTGGAAACAGTAAGAGAGGTTTAAGAGCAACATCGCCTTGCAGATGGACAATGGACTCTCTCAGATCTGAGCAAAACAGTGGAGTGGGCTACATTGCCAAGAATCTTCCATGCTCTATTGCTGATTTTAGTAAATGGGCTTACCAGTATTTATGTTAAGTTGCCATTTTATCCCTTTCAATAAAGTTCCTTTTCTTTTAAACCCTTGGTTTCATTGCTCTTGAGCAGGAAAACTGATTATCCAAGCTCATTATGTGCCCAAGCAAAATCATTTTCTTTTCCTATAACCTGTGAGTCTTGTACTGAAATTGATTACCTATTTTTAGAAAGGAGCCCTGTCTAAATCTGGCTTCTTCCCCTGCCAATCACACCTATCAGGGGAATGCCAAGCAAGCCTATCTAAATGCAGGTACATGGGAGTTATGGCCTGTGCCTTTTACCAAATACGTTACTGTAACTAAGAAAGAGGTAGAGTTGCTTGAGATCTTTCACCATGTTGGACTAGAAGCTGAAGAGGAGAGGTAGCATTTGTGGAGAGAACATGGGATTATAATGGTGTCATTTTTCAAATTTTTGTCTTGGTTGTCTAAGACCCCTACAACTCCAGCAGGCTTTTCTGAACCTCAAAGCTGGCTACTTTCCTTTTCACAACAGCTTTCTTTACTATTCTGAAGATCTGAATGACATCAATATTCTGTCCATTTCCTTCCTTGCCACTGATGGATCCACCATCATGTGCAGGCTATTTCACAATTTTAATGCCTTTCCAAAACTTATTTACTTGGCCGCCAGGTGCCCACCAAGCCGCTCTATCACTTCCCCTCCTCAACTGGACAGGGGGAGAAAAATTTGATTAAAAACTCATGGGTGAAGATAAGGACAGGGAGATCACTCCCCAGTTACTGTCACAGGCAAAAAAGACTTGACTTGGAGAAATTAATTTAATTTATTGCTGTTGTGGTTTAACCCCAGCTGGAAAATAAGCACCACATAGCCACTTGCTCATTTCCACCCGCCCCGGTGGGATTGGGAAGAGAATCAGAAGAGTGCAAGTGAGAGAACTTGTGGGTTGGGATAAAGACAGTTTAATAAATAAAGCAAAAGCTTCACATGAAAGCACAGCACAACAAGGAATTCATTCACTGCTTCCCATCAGCAGGCAGGTGTTCAGCCATCTCCAGGAAAGCTGGTCTCCATCATGTGGAATGGTTACTTGGGAAGACACACGCCATCACTCCACATGTCCCCCCCTTCCTCCTTCCCGCAGCTTTATATACTGAGCATGACATCACATGATACAGAATATCCCTTTCATCAGTTGGGGTCAGCTGTCCTGGCTGTGTCCCGTCCCAGCTTCTTATGTGCTCCCAGCCTGCTCACTGCTGTGGTGGTGTGAGGAGCAGAAAAGGCCTTAACTCTGTGTAAGCATTGCTCAGCAGTAACTAAAATATCTCTGTATTACCAACACTGTTTTCAGCACAAATCCAAAGCATAGCCCCGTGCTAGCCACCGTGATGAAAATTAAATCTATCCCAGCTAAAACCAGCACAATTGCTGATCAAATCAGAGTAGGATAATGAGAAAAAAACCCAAATCTTAAAAAAACACCTTCCCCCCACCCCTCCCTTCTTCCCGGGCTCAACTTCACTCCCAATTTCTCTACCTCTTCCCCCTGAGCAGTGCAGGGAGATGGAGAATGGGGGTTGTGGTCAGTTCATCACATGTTGTCTCTGCCACTCCTTCCTCCTCATGCTCTTCCCCTGCTCCAGCAAGGAATCCCACCCACAGGAGACAGTTTTTCACAAACTTCAACATGAGTCCTTCCAATGGACTGCAGTTCTTCACAAACTTCTCCAGCGTGGGTCCTTTCCATGGGGCTCAGTCCTTTGGGAAAGGACTGCTCCAGTGTGGGTTCCCTGCAGGGTCACAGGTCCTGCCAGTAACCTGCTCCAGTGTGGGCTTCCTACGGGGTCACAGCCTCCCTTGGGGCACATCCACCTGCCCTGGTGTGGGGTCCTCCACAGGCTGTAGGGTTATCTGCTCCACTGTGGACCTCCGTGGGCTTCAGGGGGACAACCTGTTTCACCATGGTGTTCAGCACGGGCTGCAGGGGAATCTCTGCTCCAGTGCCTGGAGCACCTCCTCCCCCTCCTTCTTCACTGACCTTGGTGTCTCCAGAGTTGTTTCTCTCTCATATCCTCACTCCTCTCTCTCCTCTGCTGTTGTGCAGCAGTTTTTACCCCTTCTTAAATATGTTATCACAGAGGTATCACCAACATAGTTAATTAGTTCGGCTTTGGCCAGCAGCGCATCTGTCTTGGAGCTAGTTGGAACTGGCTCTATCAGACATGGGTGAAGCATCTGGCATCTTCTCACAGAAGCCACCCTGTAGCCTCCTGGCCACCAAAACCTTGCCACGCAAACCTAATACACTTGGGGCTTTCTGACTCATCTGCACCTTCTTACTGGGTTACCCTGGGACAGGGTAGCAATTGCCCATAGTGGAGCAAAATGGTTATGGTGCTGCCAGGATTAAATGTGACTGCATAGTTCTCCAAAACAGGTTCTTCAAAAAAAAAAAAATACTCCTATTCAAAAAATATGTAAGGACATCTTTGTGGGTTCTGAATGTCCATGGAAACCTGAAGTGTCTCCAAATGTAGCCAGGTGCAATTCAGAAGAGGTTGGTGCTTGACCTGAAACTGGGACTGTGACACCAGTTTTCCCAGGAGAAAACTCATGGCAAGAGTGGTCTCTGGGTGGCTGGGGCTCCTGTGAGTCACAAGGTGACTCCCCAGCAGTGACAAGTGGCAGATGGTTAGAGTCGTTGGCTGATGGCAGTAACAGGCTCTCTGTGGTGATGTACTCCAAGGGGCACTGCTGAGGAGACCTGGTACAGCTGAGAGCCTTTGGAGATTTCTGCTCTTCTGTTCTATCGTTCTTGCCTTTCCCACAGTCTGGTGGGACCAGTGAGACTTCTTTCTCATCATCAAGGTGTTGAGTTACTTCCTTCTAATTTGGGAGCTGGAAGGGCTGTGAAGGACCTGCTCCTGGCTGTTCTTGCCTCAGTGGAGCCTGGGGACAGTCTTCCTTTGGGAGGGCCACATGCTGAAGGGAAACAGATTTCTCACAGACTCCCACTGGGTCCGCTTCCAGGGTCTGATGCATATCAGGCTGCGAGGACATCACTGGGCTGTACAAGTATGGACCATTGAAAGCAAAGCAAGTCTTGGTAACAGTATTTGCATGAGCAGCATTCTTGCTTGGAAGCTTGGAGAACAGGCAGGCTGGAACAGCAGTCTGATTTAATGGGCAGACAAGTGCAGATGATGAAAGTGAGGTTTTATGTGGCACTTCAGAAGTCTGACACGAGTTTTGTGGAGCCAGTGTAGCATGGGAAACCTGCACTGTCTTTGCCTCAGCTCCATGAAACTCTGCTGGACTGCTTTTTGTCATCCTGTTCAGGTGAAAAAACACAGGTCTTAGCTGTTATTGACAGCTCTCTAAATAACAGCTCGCTAAGATGATAACTGCATACAAACAGGAGATGCTCTAAGGGAGTACACTGTCTTCCAGGAAGCTAGAAGGAACCTTTGGCCACATCTCTTGTACCTTCCTCAGAAGATGCAAGCCTCAGCTTTTTCTGTGCCACACAGCTGTTTACTGCCAACTCCAACTTTTCTCAATGCCAAGATACGCAAGCACAAATCAGCTATTGAGAAAAGCTATGTTTTTGCTGTAAATAAAACAGAGCCGGGGACCATTCTTTGGCCCTCTGTTAAAACGGCATAGGGAAGCTGTGTCCACACTGTATAGCCGTGGTAGTCTTCTGCGTCTCCCACAGCATCTCTGCGGTCTATAGCACAGCTGAGGTCTTGTGTCTGTTTTTCCAGTTCACAGTGCAGAGCATAATGTGACCGCTGTGTTAGAGCTGTATTCACAGTGTGAAAGAGGATGTGTGTCACATGGCCTGGGTACCAAGCCTGGTTGAATACCATTGAAGGACACTGGACAAAGCCTAACTTGCTACAGTCATGTCCATGTTGCCCACTGGGAATGGTTGCTACCCTGTGCTATGTCCCAAACTGTGCCAGGATGTTATCTTGGAGAGCACTAGTTGGCACAGGCCAAACCGTGGCAGGAAGAGTGCTGACAACAAAGCAGTGCGAGCAGTTACAAGGCAGTGCTTGATACTACGTCTTGGCCCTGATTTATTTAGCAGTGTAGACTCAGGCAATGTGACTGCTAGCATCAACATTTATGCAGGTCTCGAGCTTTCAGTGACGCTTTGCAGTTACTTCTCCCAAAATATGGGCCCCTGTCTCTTACAAGCACTGAATGTGAAGCTAGACAAAGGGAGACGACAAAGATTTCAAAGAAGTAATGAACATAATCCAAAACCTAGGGTAATTTCCTGAACAGAGCACTGTGGTCACCTCCCCACTCTGTCTTTGAAGACCTGACATAATTTTGAGGCTCTGTGGGTAATTTGGAGCTATTTCTGATCAGTCGCACACTGGCTGGGACCACTGCAGCTCTTCTTTGTTCACGTTCCCCTTTCAAAGTCAGACTTTGCTTCAAGAAGCAGAAAGTACATCATTTCTAGAGGATGAAGAGTTAAGGGAATATGTGTGTTTTCATGAGAGTTTTTGTGTTCAGGTAGGCTGGGAGGAATTCTGCCAACAAGATTTCCACCCTATTAGGTCAATGCCTTTTATTCAAACCTATTTCCAAAGGAAATGTAGAGGAAGAAAGGGAGCAGGTTTCTATCTTTAAACTTCCAGCCAGGGAAGTCAAGGTCTGCAGCTGCAGCAAGTTCATTACAAGTTCCACAGATGCCTGCAAGGTGTACACAAACTTAGGAAATAGCCAGATGAAAATTCTTTGTCCTCCCCATCGCAATGGGTGATATCTATGTGCAGCCTGCTTTTACTCCATGATTAGTAAAGAAGATTTCAAGAAAGGAGTCAGGAGTGGGCTGCTTACTTACCCTTCCAGCACTTGAAGGCAGTTAACCTGCTCCACCTCCTCAGAAGTGTTCTGCCCATTGAAGTCCACTTGGCTGGCTGGCTGTTTGCTGCCAGCTTCCTGAAGAGAGAAAATGAAGATCGTGACACTTGTGAGAAAAGAGAGATCACATTAAGGCCAGGAAGAGGCAGGAGCCATGGGCACAAAAACACTAGTAGTAGCACATTTGTGATAGTGCAAGAACAAGCTTCCAGGCATTCGCATTGTATAATTAGTTTTACGAGTTTATCAACCTATGTTTTAGAAGTAATCTTTTCTAAATACCTTTTTTCCCAACAATCTTGCTGTTCTCATTTTTAGGGCCGTGCTGTTTCCCCACCTAAACACAGTAGTAATATTGCTACAGGCAATATTTAATAGATTGACACAGGGTTAAAGAACTGCCAGCCTGAATTATTCCTGGCACCTTTGTACCACTTTGATTTGTTCCAACATCTGTCAGCTTTTCGCTCCTTCGTCCTTGCTCCAATCTGCAGATGCCTTCACATTTCAACCTTCATTCTCTAGTCAGAACAAGCTGAGATCCATTTCTCTTCAATCTTCCAGTCACAATAGATGGTAATGTGGAAGCAATCCCACGGCTGTGGCTACAAAGTATGTCTTGTCCTCCAGAAGACCATTCCTTTACTTCCACATCGTCTATTTTTATCCAACGTAGGAGTCAGGGGCTGCTGCAGCAGCAGGTTCCCGTCACAATAAACTTCAAAGCTGCTGTTTTGTGCAATGCCTACTCTGATTCAGCAGCATATGAGGACACTCTGGGCAACATTTCTCCTGTAGAGCTAAAATGACTGTCCTTCTGTGCTGACTGACCAGAGAAACAGAATTGCTGGGATGTTTGCAAAGTTTAGGAGAAGGGAATTTGCTACAGGGATGAAAACTCTCAAAGCCACAAGACTAAGAACAGAGAGCGCTTGTGGGTGGAGAGCTGGGTATGAGATGGGTAACAAAGCTACTGTGATGCTTTTTAGGGTGGTGGATGGCCTCATACTGGTGTTGATTATTGTGCGTGGACAGAGAAGGAAGTGGATGAAGTCTGTCGACAGCCAAATTAATCAGAAGGAATTTTAGAACAACAACTGATCTGCAAGGGGGATTTACAGAGCCTGCAAAACATGCAGATATGCATCATGGAAAGAAGTCTGGTGTATCACACTTCCCCTATGTCAACTGCTGACAGGATGCATGCCTAAGAGACATCACTTGTGGACTGAGAACTACTCAGAGGCTGAGAGATACTGGGTGCCAAATGAACAGTTAGCTGAGGACCACAACAGCCCACCATGTGCAGCACCCTCAAGGGCAATGCTACGATCAGGCATTCCACTTCAGGTAAAAATATAAAATGGGACAAAAGGACTTGCAAGGTAGAGAGTGAGGCTGATGGAGAAGACAGGGGTGGAAAGCTAAACACATTGCAACTGGAGCAGTAACTGTTAAGTTAATCTTTGTAAAGACCACTGTTGCCTGGAGTTGTGCATCACTGACTTGTACTGCAGGGAGCCACAGATGAGGTAGAAGTCATTAAGCTTAAGTGGAAGATAAAACATAGTGGCAAAAATAGCATGAGCTCTCTGTCTGTAGAATGGAGATTAGCAGCATTGCCTTAAGGAGCTAGAGACGTTAGAGATGTGAGATCAAATACAAATCCAGCGGTTCCAGGGGAGACTCACAGATAGATAAGGCCATGGAATTATGATAGTGAGAAACTGAAACTCGCAAGAGTCGGCTCCAGGAAGGAACCTAGACACTTTTGTCATAAAACTCCAAGTATACTCCATGCAGTGCCTTTTTTTTGGTGATATCCACCTAGTGGGATATAATTTCTATGTATCACAAGTTTTGCATGGCCCCTGCAGGTGAAATCAGGAAATGGGTGAGGGAGAGAGATGGAAGAAAAAAAAGCCACTTACTTTTAAAAATGCCTCCAAAGAAATGACTGTGCGAAGTATACATTTCCTTTCCTTTGCCCTCTCCTTTCTTATATGGAGGAAAATGTCCATGACCAGGAAGGATAGCATGTAGAAGGAAATATAGCTCTCACACTATGAAGTCAACCTCCAGTGACTGCAGAGGAGTATACAGAGAGGTAATCATGCAAAGACTATAGAATCATGGAATCACGGAATCACGGAATTTTCAGAGTTGGAAGGGACCTCTAGAGATCATCTAGTCCAACTCCCCTGCTAAAGCAGGATTGCCTAGAGCACATTACTCAGGACTGCATCCAGGTAGGTCTTGAAAATCTCCAGAGAAGGAGACTCCACAACCTCCCTGGGCAGCCTCTTCCAGTGCTCTGTCACCTGAACCGTAAAGTTTTTCCGTGTATTGGAATGGAACTTTCTATGTTCCAACTTGTGCCCATTGCCCCTCGTCCTGTCACTGGGAACCACTGAAAAGAGTCTGGCTCCATCCTCCTTCAACCCACCCTTTAGATACTTGTATGCGATAATAAGGTCTCCCCTCAGCCTTCCCTTCTCCAGGCTAAAGAGTTCCATCTCTCTCAGTCTTTCCTCATAAGGGAGATGCTCCAATCCCTCAATCATCTTAGTTGCCCT